AAATTTTTTAAATAAAATTCAACTACAGAATGAATAAAAGATTGCATATGTATTATATCGTGTTTATGATTGAAATGTTATCCGTATTGGTTGTATGTTTATTAGAAAGCGGTAAACATTGTCATAATAATCTTTTGTTTTTAAAACTTTTACAAAGTATTTATGTTTAAAACTTTTACAAGTATTTAAGTAATGCTTAGTTTTTAAAACTTTTACAAAATATTTAAGTAATGTTTAGCTTTTAAAACTTTTACAAAGTATTTATGTTTAAAACTCTCACAAGTATTTAAGTAATGCTTAGTTTTCAAAAGTTTTACAAAGTATTTAAGTAATGCTTACCTACATGTCCATATAAAATTTTAAGATTTGAACGTAAAATTGGATTTTTAATTGTTGTATTGAGATCATCGAATGTTCGCACATTTGGCATTTTGCAAAATTTTCTCCAAATAACATATCCAGGTATTCCATGATCACGTCCACGTTGAATATTGATAGAACCAAGATCAGAATTACCAAATATTCGTTCAGTTATTGCTGGAGTAAGCCTGTTGAATCCCATTAGTAGTTTGATATATAAGACGAATAATTGTTATCAAAGGTTAATTTAAATACTGTTTATTTTCCCCATCTCAGTTAAAAGCTCATTAAATTTTCCAGTAATTCTTTTATTAATTCTTCAAGCAATATTGAATTTATATAATTCTTTTATCTCAGATACCTTTGGGGCATTTTTGCTGGTAAACTTATCAAACCACGAATGATTGGATCAATTCCATGCGCAAAGAGATGGATACTTTTGAACATGCCATCATTAAACAATATGCCACCTATACGGTGGAAATTCTCGTCAAGAAATGGATAAAATTCCTAGAAATTAGGAAAAAGAAAGCCTATATAATACAAATAATTATTATTGTTGTTGAAATGACCATTGCTTGACCTTTTTTTCCAAAAAAAAGGTTATTTTCAATTATAAAAAAGTTCAAAAAATTGTAATAAATTTCTAATAGCATTACATTTAATTAATGGGTAATTAAGCCCCGATAAATGCTATCCATTTTCCATTCAATCTATTCCTGATACGACTATTTTCCGAATTTCTTTCCTGTCTTCCTCTAACATTTTCGACTTTTTAAAAAAAGATTTGAAAATGTTTATCACCGCATCTAACAAACGAGAAAGGGTGAAACCTGTATCATTCCATGTCCAAATCGGAAGGCACATCCGGTAAATTCATTACTGATGGTTGCATCCACGTTCTCGTCATAACCTTCGTACTCACCGATTAATTCATTAAATTTACTGCCTAATATACGAGGTAAATATTCCTAGAAATTATGCAATAACTTATTCAATTTTATGACTTAATATTATTTGATACTAAGATTTCAATTTCATTCCTAATTATTTTATCACCCTATCATCATTATTGCTCATTAAGATAAGTAAGTAATTAAAAAGAGCACTCATCATAATGATGACAAAAGTGATAATGATAGCAATGATGATAGCAGTGATAAGATGCAAACAAACCTTATATGTAATATGTTGTATGGCAGCTCCAATTATTCGTCGTGTTTCTTGAAAAATTCGATCCTGATCCCAATTTTTGTTTAAATCTTGCAACACTGATGCTATCCTCAAATATCCCATAACATTAGCATATTCTTAACAAATAACTAATTAACAGTTCGTCTTTAAATTGACAATCATTTGGCAACCTTTTTAACGATTTCTTTTACGAAACTCTTCCTAAAGTAATTATTGAGATCATACCTATGTCAAGATTTAAATTAAGTTTAAAATTTTAAAATGATTCCTTAGTTCGGAAACTAAACATGGATTCAGTTTTCTCATTGCTATGGACAAAATTAACGAAAATATCAAAGGTCACAAAGTGATTCAAGGATACTTGTTATGTTCTCGAACAAAAAGTACATGGAGCGCAGCTAAACCGACAAATATATTAGCTCGATCATCACCGGTGATAATATTTTGATTGCTATCAATTGGAGGGAAAACACGATCTCGAATAATCTGTGTCTTCATGAAACTTCCCTGCCGGAACATGAATTGATCCAAATCGGAAGAACCGTAAATCTATTAAAATGCGTAGATATCTAGTATTAATATTGAAATGCTCAAGAATTAGCATTCGTTATTGCTAAAGAATTTTACCATTGAACCATCAAGATATGCCGAGTTTTCGTTGTATTGTTCACGGGGAAATGATTTCCCGGTGCCACATAACGGGGTAGAACGTGCCACCGGTAAACATTGGAAACGACCAAACCTAAAATTATTATCAGTAAAGTCATCTCTTTTGTTTATATTATCAGTGAAGTAATTTTATCACCCTTTCCATACCATACTTCAATAAAGTAAGACTGGCAAAGGTCAAAGTAAAGTAAACAGATTTACCCATTTGTAAAATACGGGAATTTTTTACCTGATAATATATCTAAAATTATTATCAGTGAAATCATCTCTTCTTTTGTTTTTATTATCAGTGAAGTAATCTTATCATCTTTTCCACACCATACTTCAATAAAGTAAGACTGGCAAAGGTTAAAGTAAAATAAACAGATTCATCCATTTGTAAAATACGAGAATTTTTTGCCTGATAATATTGAAATACGATAAATTATTAAAAATTTGAAAAGTTTATCAGACAATCAAAGAGTACAAACTTTAGGAGATGTTATCAGGTGAAAAAAAATGAATCATGTTAGGATTTTTCACTGAGAATCTTCAGAAGGAAAAATGAATCATGTCAGGATTCTTCAGTGCTAATCCTCAGAAATAAAATGAATCGTGTTAGGATTCTTCAGTGCGAATCTTTAGAAGGAGGAATTCAAACAGGCAGTATTCAGGTTTTATTTATGACATATTTACATAACGGAAATGAAGAAAGCTTACGTTGGATCATGTCGTGATAAGAAAACATTCGTGCATTTAGAATTAGGTTCACATGATGCGCATTCTTGATTGTTTAGAGTTGTTGTCTTGGCCATATCGTGGCTCAAAAATTGGCCCCATTGCATCAGCAAAGCATTTGAATCACTTGTCACCTAAAATTAAATTAGCATCAAATTCTTTATTTATTCAGTATAAATGGAAATTTGTAAAAGTCGAAAAAAAAAAATTTGTGGAAAATGATTAGATTTTGATTTCAGCTTTGAGAAATTAGTCATGAATCATCTCATATATCTCTTTTAACTTTATATTACTAAATATGCTGGTGTTTTTTGTCTGTCCTTTTGATTCAATGAATTAAAACTGTTTGTTTTCTCATCCATTAACTCCTCTTTTTTCTCCTTGATCTTTGACCCCAAGATTATTATTAAAATTATGCTTACTTTCCGATGCTTATCATTTCATCGTTTGTAATTTAATAAGTAAATAAAGTGTAATTTATTTGGTTTGTTGTTTTAATTACTAAAAATGAATAATTTGCATATTCTGACCTGTGTATCTGATGCAAGCATTAAACGTGACGCCTCGCGTGCCATTGGTCGCGTTTTTCGAATTGATGCTACAGTGCAAGGTGAATTTACTGATCTTTTGAAGTATTAATATGATTTTATCATCTGAGATAGATTATCACACAAATTCTTTATGCTAATGATGATGTTCACTTTAGTCAGGGAATTAAGAAGCCAAGAGTAGTCCGAGTTCATTTTAGTCAAGAAATCAAAAAGCCAAAAGTGATCCGAATTCATTTTAGTCAAGAAATCAAGAATCCAAAAGTGATCCGGTTGCTGTTTGTTGATAATAAAAAGTAAAACACATCCCGAACATATATCTTACTCGTATTCTTATCTTAAAATTAAATTTCAAATGATTAAAATTGATAAATAAACCCAACATATTGGCGCATTAATTCCATTATCATATCGTGGTTCTTTCAAACGAATGTACGGTGAAAAAGCAGCACCATTTTGTGGTGATTGTAAATTATTACATGTACCATCAAAAGTTCGAAATCTAAGATGATAGCATAAATTTGCTTGCAATTATTACGATCTAATTGTGAGACACATCCAAATCGAGCATTTTTTTGCGTACATCACCAATCGATATTGTATGACGTGTAGATGTATCTGTAAATTTATCAGAAATTTATTTAATTAAATCAATTAAATTGAAAAAGAAGGAACGATTAATGGAAAAAA